TCCACCCACCCACCCACTTGGAGAAGGGTGGCTTGTTTGATCGCACTCCTGCCAAGCGGCCACGCTGGCTAGTACAGGTTGGGGAAGGAAAGGCCCCCCAGGATCGGTTTGAGATTGTCAAATATTAGCGCAGTCTTCTCTTCTTGTTCGTTGTGGCTCTGACGTGGATGCAGAGCAACGACTACCATACTCTATGAGACATCTCCTTTACCAGTGGCAAAATATAGTAGTAGCTTTTTACCCTTTCAACTGGTACGCCTTTTGGCGTCATCTGGTCCAACACCAATGGAGACTAGGCTCTAAGAAAAGCTGTCTCGGGTGTGGACCAATCAACTTCAAGGACAGTGCATATCATTACCATCATCAGAGTTGTTTTTTGTTTGTTTGCATTTTGACTGCTTGTGTTGTGGTTATTGCAAACATGATGCCTTGCATAAAGGTATCAGTTTTTGTACCAGTTTAAAGGGTAAAAACCTACGACTGACTACCGTACTCTTTCAGCAGAGTGGTGCATCATCATCGCCGTGATGTCTCTTTTGTATTTGTGGATCGGGGCACTTGCGTCGTTCTACGTTGTACGGTCGGTTTTGGATTACCACAGTCGCACACTACCGGAGTTTCGATTTAAAGCTTTCGTGACTGCAGAGATTCATCTTCTTGGTTCTTTCGGTAAAGTCACGTAGAAGGGAAGTAATAAAGTAATAAAAATAAAAGATAATAAAATAATTCTCACGACGTTTCGACCACAACGCAAGCAGCCGTCCTCAAGTGAAAAACAGGTCATTCATTCAGACTCTGTCTTCTCGACAGACCTGTTCTTCACCTGAGGATGGCAGCTTGCGTTGTGGCCGAAACGTCGTGAGAATTATTTTATTATGTTTTATTTTTATTATTTTATTATTAGTTCATTCATTCAGACTTTGTCTTCTCGACAAACCTGTTCTTCACCTGAGGACGGCTGCTTGCGTTGTGGCCGAAACGTCGTGAGAATTATTTTATTATGTTTTATTTTTATTATTTTATTATTTCAATTCTACGTGACTTCACCGAAAGAACCAAGAAGAAGACACTACCGGAATGTTTTTCATTTTGCATTTGTGCATCGGGGATCCGCGCATCTGCCACGGTTTGTGCAGTGGATGCGGTTTAGGGTGGACCACAAGCTTCGTGGAAGGTCAAAACCCAGCGATCACCTTCCACGTTGGCTCTTTCACAGTGCAGTCACAGATCTTTGTCAACCCACGACTAACTGAAGGCCTCCCCATGGCTTCACCATACTTCACCACGCTGGTCAGTGGGGATCGGTAAAGGGGAGGCCCCGGGTCCCGTCTAATTAAAAGCCGACATCGATGTTAGGAACTGAATAATTCCCGAGTAAGCTCCCAAGCACACGGAGCATTGTTACCTCGACTGACCGGTGTGGTGAAGTATGGCCGAACTATTGCCATTACCGACACGGCATCGGGAGACCTTAATCCACCAGTGGATTGATAAAAAGAATGTAAATCATAATTGTTTTGACGGAGCTATCAATGCGATTGTGCCCTTAATTTGTATACTCAGCCCATCTTCTTTCGTCAGCTGCGCTAGGGTCTTATTTAAATTGCAAGCTTTTGACGTCAGATTGTGAGCGATGCTCAATCTGGCTAGCTACAGCCGAGTAGCACACACACACACACGTATTACTTCCAGCAGTTCCACTTGGCTTTTAAGACGAGATATGTATATCTAAAATGTATCGTCTACGTGTGATCTCATACATACACTCTACGGAGATATGCATATCTCAAAATCTTCACGTCTATTTTCCGAATCTCAATCCCGATGTTTTTTTTTTGGGCGATGTTAAATAATGCAAACGTCCCGACCAATGTGTCTCACTCTCGAGGCGTTCACGGCGGAAACGGTACGCAACCATTACGACAGCACGGCCGAGAGATATTCAATTGCATTAAGTCAATTTCAAATGTCCCTTATGCCAAGATAGTAATTGGTTCTCGTTCATTATTATTATTAATCTCATTCCAGCTGGGCAGCGGCATGGCTGGAGCAACGGGATGGCGAGCGGAAAGGTTGCGAGCTCTAAAATCCCCGGCCGAAAGTCACCGCAGCCTATCATCTCTCAGGGCTCGGTAAAATGAGTTACCGCATTGAGAGAGGACTAGGCGGGTCACACTCTGCGTCATGGGTCATTTGGGGGATTTCCATCGTCGACAGCGACGATCACTTGCCCCATCGATTGTTCGACAGAGCAAGGAGACTTTATCAAGAAAATGTTTTTCTCATTGTTATCGATCCATTGGAATGCACCGCCTTCCATCCGTTTGTGAAAGAAACCCACACGAAACCTCTGGCCAGAGCAAATTGCAGCCGAAGCATCTTGTCCAATCGCTGGCTGTTTTGTTAGGTCTTTTTGCTGTCTCTCTCTCTGTCTCTCTGTTCCTCCTTGTCCTCGCGCTCAATCCACGCTTTCGTTCTTTCTCTCTTTTTGCCCACCCTCTACACTGGAACAAACTTCCCCCTCCGCGAAAAGCGGTCACCTTCGCTCACTAGCTTTCGCTCCGCACTCAAAACTCACGTATTGTTACCCCTAGCTCACCCCACGACCCCTTAATCTCCCCCTCATAATGGCCACCGTTATTTTTCCCTCTTCATATTCTCACTACACGGCTTTCACTAATTCCCCATTCGTTCAATCTATTCATCATCATCATCATTCACTGCCATCAATTTCACTTACACCAAATTCGCACACTGCAGACTTGCACCAATTGCATCCCGCTCGTCTATTTCATTCGCCCCATCTCCACGATTACATCCTCACGTACCGTGTACCGTTGTAATTCTGTGTAATGTGCCTTGGGTAAGGCGCTGCATACATTTCTTTAAGATAAGATGTCGAATAGGAAAGAATAAACTGCTAATGTCCACTGCGCCTGACTCAACTTTCCGCTAGAGCCCACCTTGGCCCCCGTGCCATTGACTCTGCGGTGTGTCCTACAGACCCCCGCTTGCGTCGACAGAGTATGCGAGCGGGAGGGGGGGGGGGGGTACCAGGTGGAAAATGTCCATCGACAGTCCTTTAAGGAGAGAGCGTCACTGCGCCCGGCGGCGAGGGAAGAGATGCGAGAGCTTGAAAAACGAAGACGGACTCCCCTGCATGGGGCCACTCGTGTTTGTTTGTGATTTTTGGCATGCGTTGTTTTCCAATAAAACGCTGCCACAAGCCGTATTAAAAATGCCCCGCGCGTTTTTGTTTTGTAGATACGGCCGCAAGGAGTGCTTTCATTTTTTTTTATTTCCTCCGAGTTCGTAAGCACTTTGCAGGATGCGCGCGTAACCTGCGCGCTCTTTCGGATAATGTTCCAAAGTCATATTTGCATGAGAGACAGTCAAAGCGTTTTGAGAACAGGATATTAAAAGTTCGCGTAAGCGTGCGGTACAAGCGCCGTTTTTAAGCCGCATCTCTCCGCGCATTGTACGAGAACGTAATAAGGGTTGGAAGTAACCATTGCATTGTGGGATGAGGACCTGCCCACACCGTGTCAGTGATGGGGATCGTTTGGCCATACTTCACCACGCTGCTCGGTCGCACTTGATAAAGGAGGTGGTTAGGACCATTTCAGATGTAACTGTCCACAGGTGTCTGTGTTTATGTACGTTGAACTTTTTTCGCACCGTACATAGGCAACCGTGCTAATCGGATATAGCCGGGGAAGTGAACTCATTCCAGTAGCGTAATGGCAATGTGCGGTAACCACTGCACAGAACTCTACCCCCCAAGTTGTCATGATAAACTGTCGTAATAGATGCTTTAAATAAAGCAGAACATTTATTAGCAGTAAGCTTATCGAATGTGTATGTGTGTATACATACTGTCAAACATCTCAGAAAGTAAACCCAGAGCACCTGGGTCTGTTCTGTGACCTTCTGCCAGCGAGCCTCCAACATTTCAAAAGTACACCTAGCCTGGTACAAACGCCATAGTGACATCACCACCACTTAGTGAGAGATCGCGGTTGTCGGTGGTGTTGTTGATATGCAGATATAAAAAGAACGAAGGGCTTTTAAGAGATTGTTCATTTGTACCTTTTAATTTTCCTTTATAAATGGTGACATCTTAACTCTCAGTGGAACAACTCTGGGGAGGGGAGGAGGAGGGAAGCCTCTTTAGAAATGACTGTTACAATACCAAGAAGCAACTTTCGTGAGAATAATAAATAGGCGAGCGAGTGAGAATGATGCCAGCAGAGGTATTTCACAGCTTCAGATTTCCGATCCTGCATAGTCCATTGGATTCTCTTTTCGACACTTTCATCCTTCATGCTGCTGCTAGATTTGGCGGTACGAAAGAGTTATCTCCTTGACCCAAAGTGGAGCAGGCTGATGAAATTAACACAAATAAGAACAGAAGTCTTTGCGCACACAAGCCGCGCTGAGTTATAAGGCCCTTCGAGCTCCACTATGATGTTTGGCCAATTCGTGAGAGAAGGCTGCAATGCCTGGTAGAAAATCGCCACGTTAAAAGTGGATCACTTGAACAGTAAATAAACATCGAAATCCACACGTACAGGTAAGCGACCCCATTTGTTGCATTGCCACCTACTGGCAACCTCTTAAGAGTGGCAATCGGGCGAGACGGTGGCTCGAGATGACTGCCACTGCATGCAGTCGACGCCCCGCGCCTGCACCGATGATTCCTAACGAGGACGAGGCAAGCGCGCAGCTTCGTCGCCCGCCACTGAGAGCAACACGGCCACGGTTTTCGTCTCGTTGCAGGGACTGCGCGGCACAATTTTTTGTCGGGGTACGTTTCGCGCGCGTCTCTGCGCAAAAAAAATACAAATCTGGTCGGGAGACGCCGACAACGCAAACACGCCGATCCCTCGCACAACTGCGCACAGCTCAGTCGTTCGAAGGGGCTCGTCCGCCCGACGGCCACGAGTTGTCGCCCGATCACCAGCCCCAGATCTCCCTCGTCGAGTCATCCATGCACGTACCTGCTGCTGCTGCTGCTGCTGAAGGTGGAGCATCTCGGCGGTGCTCATCTCCAGCGCCGCGACGTCTCCGTTGATCCTGCCGCTCAACTCGCGCCCGCCCTCCAGCTGACCGCCGTTGATCCTCACCGGGCTCGCAATAACCCTGCCGCCTCCGGTCTCTATCCCGCCATCCTGCATGGTGGAGGAGAGTCTGCGTCGTGCGCCGTCGACCGTCACCGGGAGGAGAAAGAGGAGAGAGAATTTCACGTCAGGCCAATTCTACGTAGGTGTCGCGGTTGTGCTTTGGGTGTCTCGCTCTCGCTCTCTCTCTCTGTGTCACTTTGGAGTGGCATTGAAATACAACATTCTTTTCGAAATCCACTTTCCTAGGCCATTTGCATTTGAAATTAGCGGGGAATTCTCGCTATGCGGTCTTCAAAAACCGCAAATGTCTCGTCCGTTTAAACAAACGACCCGTGGAAAGGCTCGCACGCTGACGGAAATCAACTCAAACGATGACACAGCCACTGCTGACGTCCGACGTTTCGTTGCACGTGCTCGCGGCTTCTTAGGGAAAATTGCGTGAAAGGCCGAAACACCCTAGGAACCAAAGGTACACTACTGACGATGCGCTCCCCAAATTTCACCAGGCTCACTGTTCATGAACTCTTGGAAGTGCTTGCACAAAGGATAGTAACATCTCATCCTGTGTTCTTGGAATCATTCAGGTCAGGGCATTGTTCACGACCTGAAAACGCATTAGACACTTCTGCTACGTACAACATCGCAAGTCAGACTCACTGGCGATTTTAGCGTCGACGAAAATGTGAACATCTACAACGACAGTTACACCATCATGCACAAACACTACACTGGGAGTGGGTGTGTTAATTGGTCAAGGCAGATATGTGGCAGTCGGATACGCAAGATTATAGCACAAGCAAGCAGTACAATTTACAATTAATAATGATGTTAACTGCAATGATAGAGCGTTAAACGATCGTCAATCTTCCCATGATCAAACTACCCGGAATAAGTCTGATTTCCATAAGAAAAGCGGGCTCCCGTAACGCCGCCGTGCAGAGTAGAGGGCATTGCAACAAAGTCCATTGTTCTACTGTACTTCTATGATATCACAGCCATCAGAATGAGAATCGGAATCTTTATTGAGCCTGCAGGAGGAATCCGATGAGCTACGAAGCTCTTCTCCACGGATGTCCCGGTGTCCCGGTAGGAGCGGGTCGGTAAGTTAAGCCCGCGGCGACTGGCGAAGTACGGCATGGGGCAGCCCTCATTGAGCAGTGGAAAGAGGAAGGGCTCCAGGTTCCATTACGTTTCGTTCGCACGGAAGAACCTCGCCGACTCTCATGGCTCTTTAACAAGTGGGTGCTGCCAGGTTTTCACAGAGGTGGTGTGGGATGGGGTGGCGATAATTGCCGTGTTTAATCACGATTGGGTAATTTGCGGGGAGAATTTGTTCAACATTTGGTCAATTTGGACCATGATTTTGCACCTCCAATAAGCACGGTTGGCTACGTACTGTGCAAAAGAAGTTCAACAGATACACACACACAATACCCACTCTTGAGGATAACGTCACGGGATCTTTAAAAATATTTAAAACAATTTTTTTAAACAAGTAAGACCCACTGAGCTGGCCACAAATGATATGCCAGTGAAGTGGCTTATCATATGGAAATCTATAGCACCCAAATACTCTGAAAGCATCTTTCTAAATGTGCAGGTTAAAAACCAGAGAAACCCGGAGAAAAATCCACGCAACAACGGATCGAGAGAACATGCCAACTCCAAATATACAGTAGGCGTCAGCGTCGGGATCAAACCCACAGCCTCCTGCATATCAGGCGAGGTAGTTTACATCTCTTAGCCAGTGGCAGCAATAACCAGGGCGGCCGCCGGATTTGAACAGCGAAGCTCCGCAACGAGCGGCGTCACCCCTGGGCCGTGTCATCACCCACAACGGGATGCGGCCTTCTGTCATCTTGTTTCCACTGTCACCAACTTGAGATATGTGTGGAATTGTCCAAGAAGGGACGTGATTTTTAGAGTTGCCTATTATTCCGGCAGTCTAATAACCATTTCCCATTCCGATGACGTAGGCAGTACGTCATCAGTTTTTTTTCTTTTGATTCCGTTCCCGGTGACGTACGTCATAAAATAACTTTATCGGTACACCTTCAGGTCGGAAGACGTACCGAGGCTCCCACAAGGCCATGCGGGAGGGCGTGCGGCACAGTTCGGCGCCGGCTAACGTAGAGTGCGGTCGTGTCGCTACGGTTCTCTGCGGTGAGTAACAATGTCTTTAAAAACAACGGCGCTACGCTTCTCTAAATAAAGTGAACGCCAAGTCGCTTGCACGTTCCGAGATTCAGCGGTGAACGGGACACCCCCACCTGGCAACTCGCAGGCGTATCGGAACGGGAAAGGTTTAACTGGATGCAATTTCACAAAGTCCCGGGTCCATAATGCTGAGCAGCTTTTGTAGTTTTGCCATCGGTTGCGGTGACCATGTGGCAGCGTTTCAATGTTCTCTTGGGGGGAGGGACGTGGGCAATGTTTTGTCACTGCCCAATCATGAATAGCAACATAAGGGCCCAAGCAAGCAGGGCACTGCGCGAACAACAAGGTGTAATATCCAAAGGAATTCACCGGTGCGTGTGCGTCTCTGCGTGTGAAATCGGAGGCGGGAAAAAAATTACTTTTTCGGAAAATGAATGAGAAAAAAAAATGCAAGCCGTCAAGTGAATATCTATAAACATTCTCATCAGATTAAACTATATATACACAACTAAACTAAAACTATTTTATTTTATTTCAACAGGTACGGCCCAATGAATTATATAGCGAAGTGATTTATCACGTGTACATTTATTACAGCCAAATACTCGACACTCATGTCCATGCAAGGCGGCCAGGATATGGCAGTGTAGCGATGGATTCTTGAATCTATCTGTGCCGATCGCTGAGTGTTTCCAACTGTTTTGTGTGGGCTTCTCTCCTTGGCACGCCCGTTTCCTCCCACGTGGGAAACACATATCAATGTCATTGACAAAACGTGCCAATTCAGAGTACGGATGAAAAAAAAAACATCTTGAGACTCAGTGAGACTTAAATTTCGATTTAAAGCTTTCGTGACTGCAGGGATTCATCTTCTTGGTTCTTTCGGTAAAGTCACGTAGAAGGGAAATAATAAAATAAAAAAATAAAACATTATTAAATTATTTTAAAGCTTTCGTGACTGCAGGGATTCATCTTCTTGGTTCTTTCGGTAAAGTCACGTAGAATGGAAATAATAAAGTAATACAAATAAAACATAATAAAATAATTCTCACGACGTTTCGGCCACAACGCAAGCAGCCGTCCTCAGGTGAAGAACAGGTCTGTCAAGGAGACAGCGTCTCCTGCGGAATTAAATGCTAGAATGATGATAATTATTACGCCTAAAACTGGCTTCACATATATTTTGAATTATGATCAAAATCACTACAAAAGATGGCAAGGCTACACTCCGACTGCGTGACTAAGTTAAGAGATTACAGATCAGAAGAAAAGTCAAGCAAGCTGATACGCTCTCACCGAGCCGAATGACAGCAAGATTAGAAGATAACTTCTAAAAATTTGATGTGCAGAAAAAAAATGCATAAACATGAATGGGGAACGATATGAATGATTACAGATGTATTTATTTGTTCACGACACGGGGATTATGACAACCAAGAGAGAATGAGCCGACAGAAAATTAGCGAAGAACTCGTCGAGGAATGATGCAGGCTCGGTCTCAAGATAGAACTCGTCGACGAATGATGCAGGATCGGTCTCAAGATATAAATATGAGAGGCAGAAAAGTCGTTCACAATTAGTTTGGTGAACAAAGTACCTCGATGGTTGGAGGGATACAAATTTAAAAGACAACAGAGCACATTTAACTCAGGCGAACAGCGAGGGTGGACTGGCATAAAGATGACGAAGTGAGCAGAAGAAGGGTGGAGTATGTTTAGAAACTTTAATTTAATCATGATCAGCAGAACACCAATATGACTGCACGATAACGTTTTCAATCAGTGCACAAAGCACGGCAGATGCGGATAACTGATGCACATGTGGAAAATTATAAACTCTCTGGCAGTGTGCGACTGTGGTCATCTAGAACAGAGCGTACAACCTTAATTTGAAGCGTTTGTACAAAGTGTAACTACGCAATGCCCCGATCCACAAACATGAAGCAGATACTTAGTTTTTTTCGGTAAAGTCACGTAGGTAAAAACATTAATTAAAATTAATAGAAGTAATAATATTAATAAAATAATAAATCACGACGTTTCGGAGGCAACACAAGTCTCCGTCATCAGGTGGGACCGTCACAGCTAGATTTACTGTACTTGCAGCTCCTCTGGTTTTCCCCTCCACATTTAGAATCAACATGCATTTAGAGTTCATACTCTTAGGTTTTTTCGGTAAAGTCACGTAGGTTAAAAATACATTTTAAATTAAAATCTTTACTTCATACAGCAATCGTGCTGTGACGGTTCCACCTGAAGACGGAAGCTTGTGTTGCCTCCGAAACGTCGTGATTTTTATTTTACTTTGATGAATAAAAAAAATTACCTACGTGACTTTACCGAAAAAACATTAGAGTATGAATCCTTGCCGTCACGAAAGCTTCAAATCCAGAATGACACAGATATACATTCCGCTGCTCGTGACCCGGTTTACTAGCCTGACCACCTAAATGTGAAATCGAAGCTGTTGCCCTGCATCTAAGTAAGCCGTACGGAAGGAGTGCATGTTGCCTGCTGTGGACGCAAAGTTTGGAAACATGCACGCTGACAAAAAACATTTAAACAAAAACCGACAGGTACAAAAATAACCCGGGAGAGATGCCATGCTAGATTTGAAGCTTTCGTGACTGCAAGGATTCATACTCTTAGGTTTTTTTCGGTAAAGTCAAGTAGGTAAAAAAATAATTAATGTATTTGTTTTCATCTTCTTGGTTATTTCGGTAAAGTCACGTAGAAGGGAGATAATAAAATAATAAAAATAAAACATAATAAAATAGTGCAATGTTTGTTATGTTTTATTTTTATTATTTTATTATCTCCCTTCTACGTGACTTTACCGAAAAAACCAAAGAGTATAGATGTCATGCTGTGAATGCCAAAAAGAGATATGCATCATCATCATAATGATGAT